TGTGAAAAAATTATCTTCTGCACATCTCAAATTGATTTTCAGCCTTGGTCGGTCAAATGTGGGTCAAACTGTTTTTTATACTTCGTAGCGCAACCTGCTTTGTGTTCTCCCCTTCACAGCTTTCCATTTAGAATACTTTTATGGACATTAGTTTTAATCTTTTGGTTAATTCTTTGAACACTTGGCTTCTTTTCTATACATTTAAAACTGTCTAGTATTTTCTTGTTTTTCTTTTTTAATAATATATAATGTATGCCTTGAGCAGCATTTGGCAGAGACAATCGAGGAAAGCAGAACGAAGCATAATTGATTACCTTAAACTGCTGGAACGGTAAGTAATAATTTTCTTTTTCAACCGCATTGTTCTATCCACCATTTTATATAAATTCACTTGTGAACTTTTTTGGTGGTGTATATAGTCACATGTGGTCATGTACGCGTAGTCATATATAGTCACATGTAGTAACAAGAATGAATATAACTACATGTGACTATAGTTGACTACATATAGTCATACTAGTCATATGCAGTAACAATAATGCACATAACTACTTGCGACTATAGTTCACCAAAATAATTTTATCAAAAAAATGTATTTCATTGTGTTTTTGTATTTTTTTCATGTAATGTAATTCGCTTGTTCCATTTTGTTCTTCGTTTAATTTTTTAACTTGTATTTTTTTTCACAGGTTTTGCTTTGTATATATAACATTATGAGATACAAAGAATAAAATGCAGAGAAGTGCCATGTGAAGTTGCATTCCTGCTACAGTACTCCAGACTTATGTCACTTATATAACTATAAATGATTGTAGATAACTATAGTCACGTGTAGTAACATATAGTTATATGTATGTTATGTGTTTTTTAATATATAGTAATGTGTGTTCATGTTTTGAAGATTTTTTTGCATGTGATAGTGTTTTTTCTTGTTTTAGTTGATTTATAATATCAAGAATTAAATTGTGAATTTTGTTGGTGGTGTAGATTAATTTTGGGGTAAAAAGACAGTACATGATTACATATAAACTAGAGTAAAAAGCAGTTTGCCCCCTAAACTAATGCCCGTTTTGCGCTTTGCCCCCCAAACAATTTTTTTTTGCACGTTTTTACCTAAACTTGTGTTTTTGTTACACATTGCCCTAAAAATGGTATTTTCTGGTGATTTCCGCCAGAATACTAGACATGTGCAAATCACGTGAGTTTGGCAGGGGCAAACTTGTCACTTCACTCATATTCTTCATTCCCCTTCGTCTCTCCCAACGCCATCCTTCATCCTCCATTTTTGACGCAGATTTTCTCCCCTGTGAAATTTCATCTTTCTCACACACAACTGAAGGAGTAGGATGAATTGTTATTTTTGTTAGAGCAATTTTCTCGATATTTTCTGCACTCTCCCACTCTCGATCTACACAATTCTCACTTTTAACATGGAAATCCATCTCACTTTACCTCCAAGATCCCACTTTTCAGCAATATTTCTGGATGAATGACACTCGATGGATGAAGGGGGAATCGCAAAACTCAATTTCATAGTTGAATTGATTATTCGAAAATAATCCTCAATTCTCGAATCTGAAGAAAATAATTTTCCCATTTTATTTCAATCCACTCCCGACGAAGAAATTCTTACATTCTGAGAATATAAAATTGTACCCCAATCCAAAATCCAAAATCCAAACAATAACAACACACAAACATTAAAAAACATTAACCTTCATATTAAAGCAAACAACAATGGAGTTTTTTTATTTATTTAATTAAGATTAAAAAGCTACTGTACTATTGAATTGGTGATTTTTATTTTCAAAGAAGCATGGAAAATTGATATGCTGAAGCATTCTCATGAGGGGGAAAAAAGCAAAAGCAGCGGAGAAATCATTTTCTACAAAAACCTCGGTCTGCCCATCTCACAATCCTCTCATGTCCAGAATTCCTGGCCAAAAAGGACGGGGAAATTGGGGGATGTATTTTCTTCTGCACTATAAGTGATTAAAGGATGGGGAAGAAGAAGAAGACTAATCAAGGGGAGAAATGGAGAACTTGCTTCTGTGTATTTGAGAATTTGAGAAGAGAGATTACGGAGATGACAAAAAACAAAAAAAATAGAAAGTGAAAAAATAAAAACAGAGAGAGAGGATGGAGAAAAAGAGGGAATGCAAGTGAATGGACAAGTTTGCCCCTGTCAAACTCACGTGATTCGCACATGCCTAGTATTCCAGCGGAAATCACCGGAATATACCGTTTTTAGGGCAACGTGCAACAAAAGCACGAGTTTAGGTAAAAACGTGCAAAAAAAAATTGTTTGGGGGGCAAAGCGCAAAACGAGCATTAGTTTAGGGGGCAAACTGCTTTTTACTCTATAAACTATACATGAATGTGGTATACTATAGTTATGTGTAGTATACTGTAGTCATGTGTAGTCAATTTCGGTACAGTAGATTTATCCAAAATAAATAAAAAATTAAAAAATTAAAAATTAAAAAAAATTAAAAAAAAATTAAAAATAAAATTAAAATTAAAAATAAAATTAAAAAATTAAAAAAATTAAAAATTAAAAGAATTAAAAAAATTAAAAGAATTAAAAAAATAAAACGAAATAAAAAATAAAAAAAATAAAAAAATAGGGTATATATAAAAAATAATAATAAAATAAACATTTATATTTTTTTAATAAAAAAATCTGTAAAACTGATAAATGCAGGCCCAGAATTCTAAATGCAGTTGGGCATTATGCTGAATGTAGGGGCGAAAATACTGAATGCAGTTGGGAAAAAATTTCACTTAAGGGCACAATAGTACTTTTGCCTCTCCAGGGGTGTATCTCAAAGGAAGAATTTTAGGGGTGGACTTATCCCTATATATTTTCCATTCTAGGGGTGTATATCAAATGGACCCTTATTTATATATACATAGGAATAATGTTGCGCTACATGATATCATAAAATTAAATAGAATGTTTAGTTCAAAAAATATATAAACACATTCAAACAACATAAATTTATATATTACAAAATTCATTGTCGAAAAAGAATTGATAATATATTTTTTCAAACTTTATTGCAATATATACCACGGTATCATACCAAAAGTGACGGTATACTAAACTATGGTATATCTCATTTCTTGGAACGATACATATCAAACTTTCAATTATGATAAGCTACGGTTCGTATACGGTAATTGTCAAAAACTTTGGTGTCCCTACCAATGTCACCCCTAATTCTAGCGATGGAACATGCATGTTAAAAAGGAGTTCTTGATAGTGTTGATCGTGGTTATCATATCGGAATATATATTTAGTTGTATTTTTCCTCCATATATCGTAACGTATCATTTATCGTAAGATATTTGACTAACTATTAAACTAGTACAAAATATATATCACATAATAATATGATAAACATGTAAAAATCAATATTTCAAAGTCAAACGATTAATTCAAAATAGATCTAAATTCAAGTTTACCATTAAATTATGGACAAAATATATCACATTTGCTAATATAAATTGCTTTATCTAAAGCATTTTTTTTTGTGGTTTTGCCTTAATTATAAACAAAAAAAACCATTGTTTTAAAAAAAATGTTGAAAATCATAAAATCACCTCAATATATGCTGAAAATCGCACAAATCATCTCTAAATGTGCTTAAAATCGCATAAATCAACCTCATAACAAATATTGTAATTATCGTATCGTATCGCGATATTTAGCAATATTTAGCGGTATTTGATTACAAACCATACATATGTCGAGTTGTATCATTTCCATAGAAATCGTATCGTATCGCGATATACTGAGTGCAACCACAAACTATTCAGATATTTAGCTTATTCGGTTAGAAAGCTTCAACTGATGACATGGATTGGTTTGATTTGGCTTATAAAATGTATCATGAGACTAAATAAAAACTTTCAAGTATATTATATAATTGAATAAGGTCAAAATTATTTTGCACCCCTGTACTATACGAAAACGTAATATCATTTAACTCCCCTAATGGATAGAAAACATCAGATACCCCCATGCCGTCCGCTTTTCTTTCTTTCTTTCTTTCTTTTTTTCTTTTTTTTTTCTGATTTCGTTAGTCAAACCCTTTCACCGGTTGTTATAAAGAGTTATTGGATTTTTTTGACGAAAGTACCCCGAAAATTTTCTATATTTAGTTTTGATCATTTTTCATCAATTTTTTTTAAAGTCTTTTCAAACTTATTTACTTTTTTCATTCATTTTTAAATCTTTTCAAACCTTTTCTATTTTGTTTCTACAAAACTAAAAAAAAAAACAAAAAAACTGAAAATCCCTAAATTCTAAACGAAACCCTAAAATTGAAATGAAACCCTAATTAATTTGAAAACAAATACAGATTAATAACAAAGCTTTTCATATTTATCGCAAAACCCCCAAAAAAAAAAACTGAAAACCCCCAAAATGAAACGTTGCTAAAATCGACAAAAAACCCCTAATTTGAACGAACGCTAAAAATCGTCAATAATCCAAAAAAAATACACCTCATTTTTACTTAATATTGTATCCATAACCTTCTAAGTTCATTGAATAGAAGCGGGGTAAAAGTGTCATTACACACTCAAATTTAACACCGTTAAATATTTTACCATTGACCGTCACAAATAGGGCGGCGTTCGATGCTCTATACATATGGGGATAGATTATACCTTTCAACAGTACATGGGTGCAAAAATGACTTTTTTTACCAACTGAATATGTGAGTTATAACCCCATATATTTTAGTCCTAAAGGAAAAAGTATGCTCCTCTTTAATATTTAATATTAATTAAAAACCAGAAACTAAACGGGTGCGCGCGCCCATAGCATATATTTGCCCAGTGAGAAAGTAAACGAATTTTCTGGAACATGTTGGAATAGTAGAGAAATTGGTTTGAGTTTAGAATTTCATGAAAGGGCGAGAATCGTCTTCTCACCTGTATAAATTAAACAAGCGTGGTCCTTCAACTTTCAATTCAATTCCACAAGAAAATATTCGCGATTCTTTTCAATAACAAGTTACAAAAATCTTCGTTACGTTGATCGATCAAATTAATCTGCAGATAGAGAAAATGTCTTTGATTCCAAGCTTCTTTGGCGGCAATGGCCGCCGGAGCAATGTCTTCGATCCGTTTTCGTTGGATATTTGGGATCCATTTCAGGGCTTTCCATTCTCCACCGCCGGAGAAACAACCGCGGTGGCCAACGCTCGGATCGACTGGAAAGAGACGCCGGAGGCACACTTGTTTAAAGTGGATGTTCCCGGATTGAAGAAGGAAGAAGTGAAGGTTGAGGTTGAAGATGGGAATATTCTTCAGATAAGCGGAGAGAGAAACAAAGAGAAAGAGGAGAAGAACGACAAGTGGCACTGATACGACCCAAGATCGCATCAGGCACCGTGTCGAGAGGAGCTCCGGAAAGTTCATCCGCAGATTCAGGCTGCCGGAGAATGCTAAATTGGAAGAGGTGAAGGCGGCGATGGAGAATGGGGTGCTGACTGTCACCGTGCCCAAAGAGGAGGTGAAGAAACCCGAGGTCAAGGCGATTGACATCTCTGGTTAATTAGTAATTAATTATCGATCCTTAATTATTCTGAATTAAGGCTTCAAGTCTGTTTGTCTTGTTGAATAAGTACTTAATGTTACTGTGTGTGATGTATCCCAAGTTTGAAGTGTATTTTCTTGTTTCTACTTTTATCAGTTGTAAAATTGTTTGAATTTGTGTTCATGGTGTTCTACATATTTTCTCTACTGCTTTTTCAGTTCATGTTTTGTCTTCCGTGATCTTTTATTCCAAAAATTAGCGAGGCTTCAAATAAATATTTTACCAAGGGAAAAAAATAAAATAAATCGATACTACTCTTATAATAAATAACAAATAATATGAAAATTAATCAATTAATTAAATTCACTACAAAATCATTTGTGTTATCATCGTGAAACACGTGGATTATTTCCACATTTTGTTTTTTTAACTTTTTTATTATTAAACTAAATTTTAGTTATAGGTTAAGTAGTGCTTAGTGGGTTAAGTATATTGCTTAGTGGGCTAAGTAGTGCTTAGTGGGTTAAATTGTGGATATTATTTTAACTACTCAACTAACACACTAACCCATGTTCTTGAGTGCTCTTGTAGTTGGTTTTCTTGCAGATCATGGGCTGAGGAGTGGATGCTTGGAATGTCTATAAATACCGACTTCAAGACTCAAGGAAGATGATCGATTCCAAAAATTAAACACCGAGAGCTGAAAAGAATACATGAGTGTTTTAGTGTATTTTAGAATCGGTTGGTTGTACTCCTCATGAGTACAATCTTTACGTACTCCTCATGAGTACATTCTTTACGTACTTCTCATAAGTACATTCTTTGTAGTCTAGATTGTTTAGTATATATGTTTCTAGACTTGGTTGTAAGAATGATCAAGATAGTGATTCATTCATAAGTTCTTTACGTACTCCTCACGAGTACATTCTTTGAAATCTAGAATTTTTAGTATTTATCTTTTTGTTTCTAGATTTGAATGTAAGAATGATCATGTTAATGATTCATTCATAAGGAAGAAGTTTTCGTACATCTTCCCTTTGTATTCTTGTAATACTGTTTTAATATAATTTTTCCGTCCTGTAAAGGGCAAGTTCACAAGTTTTACTTGTGAACATTTTTAGATCTGAGTATTGTCTTTATATTTCCGCTGCATGTTTACTTAAGTGTCATAACACTTAAGATAACATCTCTGTATTAAACGAATTCGGGACCATAAATTTTTTCAATTGGCATCAAGAGCCAACACTTGACGTATACTAAGTGTTTGTTCCTATTTTTTCAGAAACGAATTCGTGATGGATACTCAGATGACTGCTTCTATGCGACCTCCTGTACTTGATGGCACAAACTACACCTACTGGAAAGTCAAGATAAGGGCGTACATCAAAGCCATTGATGAGAAAGCCTGGAGATTTATTCTTACTAGATGGAAGCCACCAACTATCACAGATGCGGATGGGGATGTATTTCCAACACCAGAATTACGATGGACAACAGACGATCTATCAAATGCACTCCAGGCAGAACTAGAAAAGGAAGAAGTTGCTACGGAATATGATGATGATGCAGAGGAATGTCTCAACAATGTGGCATTTCAGATTCAGAAATTCAATAGGGCATACAGACGAAGTGGAATCAAGCCTAGACAGTTATTTCCAGATGGCTTTCCACAAAATCGACAAACTCAACCTGAACAGACAGAGCAACATCAACCCACTAAACAAGCTCTTTCTGTCAGATATATCACTGAAAATTGTCCAGAAACAGAATCACAGGGAGTTTCTCTAGATGCTGCAACACTTTCTGAAACACTTTCAGTAACTGAAATTTCTGAGTTAGATAATAGTCATTATACATGTTTGAACTCTATTTCTCTGAATGCAGCAGAATACAGTAAATAAGCAGTAGGAGATGAGGAAGAAATGTATAAGAAATTGTTCAGCGACTTGGAGAAGAAGACTCATGCTCTAGATGCAGCCAACAAGGAAAATTCTTCCCTTAAAGAAACAATCACTCATTTGGAGGTTGGTATCACCAAGAAGGATCTTGAACTGGCAAAGGTGAAAGATGAACTCAAAGAAACAACTCTAGCAATCAAGAGGATGAATACCGGCACAACTAAACTCAAAGAGATTGTGTCACTAGAGAAGTACAACAAAAAGGAAGGGCTAGGGTTCAAAAATCAAGTGAAGACACACAAGCCAGTAAAGAAGAAGGAAATTGTCTTTGTAAAAGAGAAGGGTTCAAATAGAAAAGAATGCAGAAATTCCAAAGTCACCATTCCAGAGTCCAGATTTAGGGGATACCTTTGTCATTACTGTTTCTCACCAGGACATATCCGTCCATTTTGTGAGAAAGTAAGTAGTGACAAAATGTTGTACAGGATGAGTCACATCACTCCAGGGAACACCTCCAAGAAAAAGGTAGAATTTTCCAAAAATGAGTGTAGAATATGGACTCCCAAAGGTAAACTTATGTGCAAAGCAGTATACACTTCTTTAAATGCTAACATTTCAGGTTCATGGTACTTTGATAGTGGATACTCTAGGCACATGACTGGAACTAAAGAATTTCTATCAAACTACCATACACTCAATGGAGGACGTGTAACCTATGGAGGAGGAGCTAAAGACAAAGTGGTTGGACGTGGAACACTCAGTATTGAGGGACTTCCAAAACTTTCAAATGTCTTACATATTGAAGGATTGGGGTCAAATCTCATCAGTATTAGTCAATTGTGTGATGATGATCTACGTGTTCAATTTGATAAATACTGGTGTTCTGTGTTTGATAATAAAAATCATTGTGTACTGACAGGGTCTAGGTCAATGGATAATTGGTATCAAACATGTGACACCATCTCATGCAAGAGCTCAAGAGTAAGTGAAGTAGAGTTGTGGCACCAGAAACTAGGGCACACAAACTTCAAAAATCTGAAGCTGCTCAACAAGTACAATGCCATAAGAGGAATTCCAGATCTCAAGATCAAGGACATCCCTATATGCAGAATGTGCCAGAAGGGAAAGCAAACTAGAGTACCACACAAAGTGTTACAACCCGTTGGTACCACAATTTGTTTTAAACTTGTACATATGGATCTTATGGGTCCTATAGAGGTAGAAAGCCTAGGTGGTAAAAAATATGTATTTGTGTGTGTTGATGATTTTTCGAGATATACTTTGGTGTATTTTTTAAGAGAAAAATCTGATCTAGAATACATGCATGTGTTTGGATGTGTTTGCTATGTCCTAAATGACAGAGATCATCTAGCTAAATTTGATTCAAAAAGTGATTTGAGTTTATTTGTGGGATACTCTAATAACAGTCATGCATATAGAGTATATAACTTAAGAACTCGAACCATTATTGAATCTGTAAATGTGGTATTTGATGACTTTGCTGATCTCCGCAGTAAAACAGCTGAAGATGAAGTTGATGACCTGATTGCTGAAGGAAAAACAACCGGAGGAGACACTACTGCCACAGATGCTCCAGATATAAACAGTTTAGTTTCAAGAGAAGAGGGTGTTGAACCAAGTGTTACCACATCTGACTCAATACAGCCTACAGAGAGCACAGAAGCTGAATTGCAGTTAACTCATGATGTCTGCAGAAAGGAACCATCAAATAGAATCCAAAAAAATCACCCCTCTACTCAAGTTGTGGGAGATATCTTTGATGTGAAAAGGACCAGAAGAAAAGAGAGAGTAAATTACAGAGATATGGTAAGATTTGCAAATTTATCTTCTGAATGTGCACTAACTGGAACTACTTGTTTTGTATATTCAGTCGAACCAAGGAATATTGCAGAAGCACTGAAGGATAAGTTTTGGATTAATGCAATGCATGAAGAGCTGAATCAGTTCATCAGGAATGATGTTTGGTACTTAGTTCCCAGACCAAGTCATGTAAATGTGATAGGAACTAAGTGGATCTTCAAAAACAAAACTGATGAAAAAGGTACAGTTGTGAGAAATAAGGCTAGGTTAGTAGCACAAGGTTATACTCAGATTGAAGGTATAGATTTTGATGAAACCTTTGCTCCAGTAGCTAGAATTGAATCTATTAGGTTAGTTCTTGCTATAGCCTGTTTTCTTAAAATCAAACTGTATCAGATGGACATCAAAAGTGCATTTCTAAATGGTGTTTTAAATGGAGAAGCATATGTAGAGCAGCCCAAGGGTTTTGAATATTCTGCCAAACCTGATCATGACTTTAAGCTTAAGAAGGCTTTGTATGGTCTTAAACAAGCTCCTAGAGCTTGGTATCAAAGACTCACTGACTTCTTACTTGAAATACAATTTACTAGAGGAGAAGCAGACAGAACTCTATTTGTTAGAAGAACAAATAACCATATCATTATTGTACGTATATATGTTGATGATATCATTTTTGGTTCTACTTGTGCTAACCTCTTACAGTCTTTTGTGGATTCTATGTCTCACAGTTTTGAAATGAGCATGGTAGGAGAGTTGAATTACTTCCTAGGACTCCAGATCAAACAAACAGGTGAAGGAATCTTTGTAAATCAAAAGAAGTATGCTCTAAATCTGGTCAAAAGGTTTGAGTTGGAGTCAGCCAAGCACATGAAAACTCCAATGGGTTCAAGTCAAAAATTGTCCAAGGATGATGTTGCCGAAGATGTTGACAACACCCTATACAGAAGCATGATTGGAAGCCTTCTGTATCTAACTGCAATCAGACCTGATATTATGTTTAGTGTTTGTGTGTGTGCCAGGTATCAAGCTAATCCCAAAGTCACTCATCTTAAAGCTGTGAAGAGGATTATTACGTATGTTGCAGGTACAGTACACTTAGGCATTCAGTTTTTCAAAGACACTAATACAAATTTGATAGGTATTATTGATTCTGATTGGGCTGAGGATATTAGTGACAGAAAAAGCACATTAGGTGCATGTTTCTTTTTGGGGAATAATCTGGTTTCTTGGTTTAGTAGAAAACAAAATTGTGTATCACTTTCAACAGCTGAATCAGAATATGTAGCTGCTGGAGGATGTTGTGGTCAACTAATTTGGATGAAACAAATGTTGGGGGATTATGGGTTAACCAGTGACACCCTGACCATATATTGTGATAATTCAAGTGCTATTGATATTTCAAAAAATCCCGTTCAACACTCACGAACTAAACACATAGATATTAAACATCATTTTATTCGTGATATAGTTGAGA